TGGTCGCAATTTACTGAAAAAGTGTACATCAGCAACTTACACCCTAACAATGGCTTCATTAGCGTCATTCTCTTGTTTATTTATTTATTCTGTAGCTGGATAAGAAAAATAGAAATGCTGCCTACTGAAATTTGTACACTTACAGTAATATTATTGAGAGTTTGCTTGTGGAGCAATAATTATTGTCTCTATTACCCCTATTTTAAAACATTTTTTTCGATTGGAAGAAGACAGGAGAAATAAAAGCCGGAAATAAATGCAAGTCTTGTGACGTACAACGACAACTAACTTAGAAAATCCGCAAATTAGTGACGGTAGCAGCAAGGCGCGCAATCGTTTCATGTAAATAAGACAACGAACTCGGCACACCGCCTGCAAAATTAAACGAAAACTTACCATTAATGAAGAAATATGCATATTACTCTTGAATATGGAGCAAAGTTCTCGTACTTGTACACGCGTATTCTTCGCTACCAGCCTGGCGCTAAAATATTTCCAGAAAGGCGATATTTTTAAAGAAAAATCGTTACTAATGATCACGTTTCAATATTGATTATTTATCTAATCCTATATCGATGTTTGATATCCATATTTGATTCAGAATCTATCTATGAAGTTTCCTATTACAAAGAATCATTTGCAACAGTTTTTTGTTTGGATCAAGTATATAAGGATAATGAGAACTCAGAAACTATTCACTTGCTTTGAAAAAAGGGAGAAAATCTACGAAACAACCAATAAAATTGATAACTTCGCGATAGTAAATTTCGTCTTAAGATATTTGAATTGTTGTGCTCCCTGCCACAAAAGTTTAAGGAAAGATCGAAATAGTAGGAGAAAGGGATATGCTAATTTTGGCCCTTTCGTTTAATCCAGATTTAACGCCTTTCTAGTCCCCGAACTTAACGATAGCGGAGTGTTCAGAGTTGTAAGTTGCTAAACTCGGTCTCTCCTCAATTTATTAAGGCCCGAAATTAATTCGACGTTTAACTGTGTTTTGGAAAGGCAGGTGTTGTAGAGGATAAAATTAGTCGAGATAGTACGTACCTACCCAGCACTGTGACAAATGTTTTGATATTAATTTCTTCCTTCCTTTGTCCCTATTACCACTTCAATTCCTCAATGTAGCGTAAAACGCGACCTTCCCATTTAGGTACTAGTTTTTACGCTGACTCCTTTTAATCTTTAGCGAACAATTGTACCTACTGTTAATATAAATCAAATACCGATAGTTATGATCTATCACCTCAATAAAGGGAAAAGGTAATCAGTTGGCAGCATTGTTAAAATTTTGTGGTGTTTATCAATAAGTCGTCGTAAGTGTTTGAACATATTTATTTGAGAGGGCTGCGTTGCCTGGGATACATCCACACATTCGCGAATGCTTGCCGCATAGACGTAATACTTACGTGAAGCGTTTTGTGATAAGAAAATCGCTAGGAAAACTACTTCGCATTTTTCCGCTTTTCGTAAAGCTTCTTCTCCCTCTGAGATTCGGTTCTCAAGAAATTCGCATATCGTAAACCGGAATCTAGAAATACAATTTCCTCATGCAGTCGTCAAGGCGTCAAAACTCGCAGAACAACCGCTCGAAATGCCGTACATGTCCTGATATACCGATGTCTGACAGTTGCGGATTTAAAACTATCCCACGATGCCGACTCCTTTTATTTTTATTTAAAAGAAATGCAAAAGTATAACTTAGTACGTGATCTCAAAAGTGAAAATACATACAATGTTCCGTCCGTTTGTTGAGATAGCTAACAATAAGTATAATTACGCAACATATACGTAAAATTATAAGTATGAAATACTTTACTCTAACATTTAAATTTTGAGTGGCAGCTCACTGAAAAGGGGCAGATCTTGTTTATAGATAGATTACATTAAGGATATGTGTGTGTGCTTATTGAAACAAGTTGATCAACCCTGCACCTTTGAATCTTTAATTGCCTATATCTGTTCGAAAATGGTGCACTTCAACGGACGGGGTGTGCAGTATTATTTTATAGATTAAGGATTTTAAGTTAAATAAAAAAATATCGTTCTACAAAGAATATCTTTTATGGCTGCAAACTTGCAATTTTTCTTTTCTGACGTCTCGCTCAGTAGTTTATGGCGTCATCTTCTTCCGGTCCATTTAGTGACATTCGCCCTCAGGGTCTATTCTCTGGCGGCATTTTTATGGTTTTAATGTTGCAACGTCGCAAAGAAGTGTTACCCGCTCTATGATTTAGCTGCATCAGCAACTGGCTCCTGGTGCAATAAACTGCAGAGGATATCAATAGCAGCCAGAAAACAGAAGCCTGCTCTTCTTGTTGCTATAAAAAAAGTAATCCCACCTATATGCCATTTTTTATCCTTCTTTTCATTCCCATTTTAACAAAGATATTTAAGAAAATTCCAATATATTACTTACTTTATGGACAGAAGTAGATATCTTGAATAATTGTAAAATTTGTGGAAAACTTTAATTACATCGGTTTCCAAGTGTCTGCAGTTCCGTACCGATATGAGTTGGACGAAAAACGAGTTATTTTATAACCGCCTTGACACGAAGAAAAGCGTACTACAAACTTGTGTTTCATAAATTAATACGTATTAATTATCAATTTGTTAATGCAATTAGAGAAAACGGTGCAATCTGTATGAGTCCAGTGTTAACGTCTTTCGATTACTTTTGCATTTTCCCTTCCTGAATTCAACAAGAAATTCACGAACTGGGTCGTTTGTTTGGAGTAGTCAAAGTTACGTTTATGTTAGACAAGTTAAAAGAATACTGATTAGGTTTCGTTCGTACTGCTCCGACCAATGGAAACGGTTGTTAGTGTGAGTGAAGCAACTTCTGCAAACATTCCGGGTGAATATTAAAAGATTTTTCAGGATACTAATGGAGAAACTTGTAGATTTTGTTTCACTATAATCTTACAATGTTAGGTGAATACTCAAATAGTATACAAAGTATCCGGTAGCGTTTTTGAAGAATAACGTCAGAACAAAGATAATAATTATATTATGCTCATTCTTGGGAAAAGATTTGTTGAATTGAAAGATACTTTCTGATATCTGCTTAATTAATGGCGAAAGAATCTGTCTTACTTTATGTTTGGATTTGTAAACATACGCACTTGTTTCAGACAGCTACATATTTTATTTGCACTATGTATAGTTTGAGTAGTTGGATTTTAATTTAATGTAAGTTAATATGAAGAAAAAACCTAAATTTAAAAACGAATGTTGATAAAATATGTTGAAGAATCTCTGGAATCATCATTCACCAACTGCATTGGTTATCCAAACGGGATACAACACCGATATTGTCCAAACGGGACGCAATACTGATATGATCAAAACAGGACACTTGAAAGTAATCCATAAAACGATATGCAGCTGTTGATTTTAGAACGAGCAGCATCAAATCAAAAATCCTTTGTCTGACAACACCTCGTTACCTTTCTTGGTTCATTTGAAAACGTTTTCATCAGTCAAACAAAATGCTCATCTGAAGGAAACCTTCCAAAGTCTCTTAATTCCTAATTACCCACATAAGCTAACGTCACTCAGGATTCAGGTTGAGATAAAATTAATTGCGTAAAAAATACCAACAGGAAGACTGTTGCGGAGAGAACGAAAAATAAAGACAGAAGTAGAGCGAGATGTAGGTCCTCTCGAGGTCAGCAACGACCCTCGAAACACGGCTCACAATGGATACAGACGCGCGGCAACGTGACAATCCGAGGGTTGTTAGAACGACCAAGTGCCTGTCGCGGGGGGTTGCTGCTTTGCAACCCGTGTGCACCCAGTTTGCACCACGACAGCCACAAGTGGCGTCGAGTGTCTCGAGTCTACGTCAGACACAGAAAAGATGAGCCATTGTTACACTGGCGAACGTGACTGTCAACTGTCAGCAGGATTTTGCATACATGCAAACGATAATTAGCGTAAAAATCTGCCACCAGATATCATTTTTTTTAACTTCTGCGATAGTTTCAATATGTGTATTATTAAATTTATATCTACTACACGTTATTTTCGACGTTAGTAGACTTATGGAATTGTTTCGCACATTGGAGACATTACTAAAGGCTCAAGAACCATCCTTAATATTGAAAATCATTGCAGAATTGTGTGTTAGATAAGAAATAGGGTAGTAGAAAACGTGTCGACTAATCGGTGAGCAATTAGTACGGGCATTAGAAGGTAATTCAACTAATGAACGCCGTGTGCTTCCTGCCCCTCATGACCACGACCACGACCACCACCAGTACCAGGAGATGACCGTTTTATATTACGTGTATATCTGATAAACACCGCTGCCGTCGCCACCATCTTAGATGATAAATTCTATTTACACACGTCATTTACACGTAAATGTGAAGGCAATAAATCATCATTCCCGCGCTCCCTAATATGACAATATTGTGCGGCACGAGCTGCCGTTGTAATAATGTTTACCTAATAAGCTTACGCGTCGATAAACCTTAAGCGTTCTCCCATAAATTTCGGTAAGGAGGAGGCCACGTCTACGTCTCTTAATAATGATAAAAAACACTGAAAATGCGAAATAATTCAGACGTGTATATGGTTGATAATAAAATGGCATCCGACAAGGATACCGCTAGATAATGGCATTTAACTTTGCTTGTTTTATTGTAGGTGATCTGAATAAGTATCAATCAAAAAAAATGTTCTTCTAAAAATAAACGCAGTGTGAATAATATTAGAATTCATACTTTTCGATGAAAATGCCAAAGCAATTGATTAGCCGTTAGATTAATCTATCAGTTATTTTCCGCAAAATCAATCCTGTTCACTTTAGCGCGATAGAAGATAGATCACCGCCATCGATCTTTGTTTTATAATAATTATTGTACGTACTGTATATCGCTTGACATTTTATCTTTTTCAAAGGCCAATAGTATCAGTTGGTTGAATAATAAAGTTTAAAAATCGTTTCTTCAATTAATCACTACTATTGCATAAGTAACAAGCACATTAGGCCTGCTTTATTATCGTAAAACTTTTTAATCCAAATATGACGCTGTAGGCTAACAGGTCAACGAGACGAATTGCCAAAGGATAGCAGAAATGCATTCTTATTCCAATAGTTAGTGTAGTAAATACGACATAAATGCACTTACATAATAAGTCCATTATGGTAAGCGAAGTCTTCTGTTTCAACTTGCATATCATTGCTTTCTGTTTGTAGAATCGATTCGCATTGTTAAATTATTTTCTTTTACTGATTGTTACTACTGATCAAACGTACGGTTGTTCTTCTGCATGTTGTTCGAATACTATTCCAACATCTAACTGTTGTCAAAAAACATGCCACTCTTCTTGTACACAGTCGGTATGTGCTACATCTTCTCCAGGTGAGATATACATTTATTTATGGATATTAAGATATCCGTAAACGGTAACAAAATCATTTCGTTTACGTTAGACTTACCTTTTAGTAATCCCAACAAGTAATACCACAGCCCCGAATCATCCGACTGACAGTGCGAGAGTCGTACCACCTGTAGAAAGTTCAAATCCAATTAACGTAACATCCATAGTCGATTTCAAAAATGAAATACATAACACTAACGAGATACATATTCCTATAAATATAACAAATGTAAACAGCAATAACGTAAATAGTGTAGGAGGACGCACACAATCACCACAACCCTGTAATAATGGGGTGGCTAATATAAGCAACTGCAATCATTCAACTCCTATTCCCGTTCCTATTCCAGTTCCTGTTCCTCAAGACCGTCCTGTTCCAGTTCCACAACCTGTTCCTGTACCCATTCCAATTAAGCAACCGTATCCAGTTCCTATTCCCTACACAAAATATATTTCCTTTCCTCAACCATACGTTCCTTGTGAGTCACCTTGTAATAAAATCCATCCGATATTTTCACACCCGTTATCTTTTCCCTCGAAGTCTTGGTACGCACCAGGTTACTTCCCCTATTTACCACCGTTTTCGGTTAGATTCTGATCTATTAGGTATTAGTATGTTGTCATTAATGTTTTTCCTTCAAGGGTGAAAAAAATTCACATTGTAATAAACGTACTGTGGTACAAGCAAAGATTAAATTATTATTGTATCATCCACAATAAAATTGTGAAACAAAATGTGTATATTTATTAATGTTATCAATCATCTAAAGCAAAGGAAACTTTTGATTCCTACTTTTGTTAGGATTGATAAACTTGTACTTATTTAAAACGAAAAATCGTGGGGACTTCAAATCGATGAACGCAGGCGAAGCGAATTTCATTTTTATATCCGATTCGGCAGACAATCGTTGCAGCGGTAACTTTTCCAATTTCTTTTGTATTTTAATAGAAGTCTCGTATCAGAACAAAGAGAACTTTTCATAAATCCATATTGAATAAAGCGAGGAGACCTGGTTGGGGTCGTCAAACATAAAATAGAATCGAGTACAGGAAGCTAGGTGTTTCCTATATATCGAATGTTCACTTTCAAAAATATGAAATATTAAATTACGCCATTCCCTCGAAATTTTCTAGTCAACGCATGGCGAATAACTGTACCTACTGATCAAAATAATCTACAAGAAAGGCATAATTTTGTCCTAAATTTTTATTTAGCTGCTGATTTTACTGTTCACAATTCTGTGGGACTACCTGCTTAAGCGTAATAATAAATACGTACCCGGGAGAACTTTAATGATATAAATTGCTTTATACATATAAGGATGCTGTTTAATTAGCCTGTGAAATTCGTGTCTTCATGTTAATAGTCATTGGTACCGCGCCACCGAAACTTGTTGCATCTTTACACTACAACGGTACATTTTCAGCTATTATCGGATTTGGTGATTCAAACATGTCTGTCTGTCGCACCTGGTTTTCGAAGGGGTGCCCTGAAACAGCTGACAACCTGAACATCTGGTGTAGATCCCATAGCGTTCTCACCAGTTACTAACAGTAACAGTTGTTTTTTGTTTTCAATTAATAAATTAATCAATTTCGAAATTGAATTGTACATAAATAATATCTAACGCAACGCAGTCTGTCTTCCTCTTTCGCTTTCTTCATTAAAACGAACTGTATACGTAAACTTTTGATATTATGTACAAATATGTAATGTATTTTTCTTTGGAAGATTGTCATATGTTGGTTCTCATGTCGAAGTGTATCGTCCTCCGTTCTCCTGTACATATTGCATTTGTTTTTCAGATTTTCATTGTTTGTTTTAGAAGTGGAAGCAGCATCTTGTTTTGGTTTGGTTAATAATGTATTCAAACACAATAATCTTTCTTCTTATAAAAACCAATGTTACCAATTTATTTCAACGTTTAATTCGTGCGATGATAAACTAATATAATTAATTTAAACATATGAAATACAATCCGAGATATTTTGTTGGCATTCGTAACATTAATAAGCACTAATTGGTTAAAATTTACAAATTAGTATTACTATACTTAATTAATTTATTTCTAGCTACTGATTTTATATTTATCAAAAACTAACCTAATGTATTACGTATGTAGGTATTTATTAAATACCGGTCCAATAAATAAATGTCATCATCGTCGTTTACAAAATAAACGAAAAAGAAAGAAGGGTACGATGCAATTGCAGTCGCCCGTTACGATTCGGTCTAATTAATTAAATGGACTGCAAAAATACATCGCATCGGTATACACGGTATGTCCGCAGTGTTTCCATTTCATCATCCATATATATACCTATAGATTGTGTACATGTATGCATGTATGTATGGCTGTTTGTTGGTGCAACAAATACGATATAGTAACAGTATGATCCGTCGGCAACGGTAGAAAAATATTTTTTGGTCGGCCAATTTCGTTATAGAGATGATGATGCAAGCAGAATCCGTTGCCATTGCCGTTTGTTGAATCTCCTCTCTCTAAACATACACCCCGATGATGTATGTTCCGTAATTGAATGCTCAAATCCAATAATTCTGGTAATGGATTTTCATGCTCTCCATCCTCTTTAGTGATATTGCCAATATGGCTTCCATTCGCCTATGTATTTTCTCTGCAACCAACACCCACCTACTTATACTCGGCTGCATCAATGGACTAGCGTAAAGGCCGTAACGACGATCGTTCCTTTCTCTAATCCACGGTATAAGTATAACAGGAGCTTAAAACTAATCGTAATAATTAATCATCAAAAGATGGATTTGTCATGTAATAACTCCACATAGGATTAGAGATTTTCGGTTTTTTATCTCTTGTTTGTAGGTAGAATAAAGTCGCACCAAATTTCAAGATTCTAAACCAATATTACTTATGTGGTTTCATGGTCAATCAATAACTATGCCACGGATAGCAAAAATCCAGTAAAGAAAAACTCGTAGGATTGTTCCTTCGATATATTTTATATGAGGTCAATCGAACCCGTCGTCTGTGGTGTCGTTAATGCTCTCAATTTGAGAGATCGAGTTTCTCTCCATAATGCCTTCCCAGTACGCCGTCGACATCAGCAAGGAGGAAGGCGAATTCGTCTTCATTTTAAAAATTGCATTAGTTAAACGTTAAATTTCGACGGAGTCGGGGCAATCGAAGAGAATCGGGGAGTGAGAGCGAGGAACATGCAGGAGTTACTTTTCAACGGGGCCTTATTTATGGTCCCGTGTTCGGGACATAAATACTGAAAATGCTGTACGGGGCAATTTAGGTCACCGCCTGGAAAGTTTCACAAATGGACGCTAACCGGGCACTTAGTCTGTGACACCGCTACTATACGTATATGCGACCCGAAGCTAGAAGAGAACAGAAAAGGATTTTTGCCTGATGCCTGCGAATACTCCTCGGCCAAGTCCTGATGTCGATGGCGGTGTCGGTCGGTAGCGGTTCCCGATGTTGAATTATCATTCAGGAAGCCATTAGCCAAATGACGTGACGAGGTGGTATCTGCTGATTACTTCCACTCCCCAGGAAAATCCTGGCGCAAAACGAACCTCGAACGTCGTAGACTAAGGGGTGGCCCGTTGCTGCAACGGAAATATCGAACATGATAGTATCCAGCGCCCCTGTTAATGTTTTCGATAAGCACCGCTCCGCCAAGACATCCCTTAATCGATTGATGTAATTGATATCCTGGCTCGGATTTGTCTTACATTATTGAATGTTCCACTTGAGGAAATCTGCCGACGCAAATAAAATTCATTGATATTTATAAATGGTAACTCGTATCTGTACGTAATTCTATTTAACACTGTGTTGTTCTTCGTGTATACCCCACGTCCAAGTGACGCAACAAGGTGTTACAGTTAGTCATATCGCAGAGCTCATCAACCGTACGGTATACTTCAGTTCCGAAATTTAATTATTATTTATACTCGTACAACACATTAATATATATAACTAACCCGCCGTTATAATGTATGCGTTCGTCGTGTGTATACATGTGTATTTGTCAGGCAGCTGCTACTCGACCTCAAAAGGCAGCAGTAGCAGTAACAAGGGGTAGTATCCAGACTAGAGCAGTCTGCTTATTACTTGCCTTCTCGTGCCTGACTGACTGCCAGCCTATGCAACAACCACCGCCCGATGGTGGTGATGGAGATTGTGCTCGAAGCAGATGGCAAATTAAATAATCAAATGTAGACCCTCCGCGTTTAGTTAAAGCGCACGCGAATGTTACAGAAATGCAAGAGCAACAGCACGTGCTAATTCGGATGATGAATGTTACTGTCATCGTTGTTGTCTTTGTTATCCCTCATCATTATTGTACCAACGCTGTTTTAAACACCTATTATACGATTTGTCGCATAACAGTTGATTCCGCGACCAGTATATTGCTATGCGAAACAAGAAACAAAATGATTATTATTTTTATAGAAATGCGTTCATATCGATCAAAGATGTAATAGCAGATATGCATACATAGTGTGGATAAAGTAAAAGCTTCCAATTCGATTACTCCTGCAACTTTACCCCACATCAAAGCCTTTAAATTTAAGTAATTAGCCATGTTTTGCTTTCAACGGTGCTGCATAATCCGCCTTTTAATTACACCAATAACTCTTTCATTCTCCTTCTCTTTCTCTTCCTTTGTAGTACCTACTTTACTTTAAACGTTGTTTATTTGCAACGTTTGAAAGTCTTCGAATCCGGATCAGAATAGAAGCGAATTGTTATATGGACTATCATACCGTAACGAAATTTATTCGTTATAAATCGAGATATACAAACTTTTTGAAAACGTACAAAAATTCGACTAGAGGTTTGTTGATTTTATCCAAAACATCCCTGCAGTTTTAATGAGCAACGTGTGAGCTGTGTAATCAGTCGACCCGCACTCTTTTTTATTGAACGTGTATGTCGGCGCAAACATTTCTTCCGAATGGATTAATTTTATAAATAATTCTCTTTAGATGAAGATATTCAATAATAACACTAACATATCAGTTATAAATTATAACGCTTAGAACTAAGGCGTTGTTCAGTATTAACTCAGTGATCAGAGAAATGCATGACTGAGTTATGTAATTAAAAGAGGAGACGTACTCACAGGGAATCAAGGCACTTTGGCTTGTAAATTTTATCAGCTAGAGGTGTATATTTATGGGCATATAGCTTAGATTTTAAGGTTTAGATCATCGCCATTCGTCACTAGAACCAACACCATTACATTTAGCATAGCTGAACATGAATGACGTCTATGATTTGTTATTTTGACTCCATTCTGTCCGTGTGTTGAGAAGAGCTCGTAAATTTCCACCTCTTCCGTGCTCAAATTAATCAATCAGTCCACAACCGTCGCCTTCAATTAATCAACATATCCAGCGATCCCTTGCATTCCTTTTGCCCACTAATTTAGGCACTTTTTGCCATAAAATGCCTCCGTTGCTGAAGATTCGATAATGCAAATAAGAAATATTGGAATCCTGTAGAGAACTTCATCAATTCGTATCTCTTATCTATCATCTTGCCTTCCTGACCCATTGGCTGAGAACGCCCTTGGAATCTTGCGTATTAAATACTTACTTTTATTGCATATTCTTTTCAAAGTTCCTTTGGAAACTTCGAAAGACTCCGAGTCTCCTAAACATGCAGGATTTTAATTCCCAGGCAGCATACGAACAGCGCCAATCTTAAGTTTTCGGACTCGACACGAACATAGGCGGCTGGTGGTATAAACTTTGATGTAAGTCTTCTTAAACAACTTTTAAAAGTTTAATGATGAGGGCATTAGCGGTAGCCGCCGCCTTTACTTTGAATTTAAGAGACATTTATTTAAGCGGAGCGTAACAAGGCGTATATTTACGTGGCAAGGAAGAACTTTAATCCCGTTGAGATCTTTAGTCCCATTCGTTATAAACAAGAAAATTATAAATACGATAGATATCTTTTACAAGTAACGACGTTAATGTGTCGGTGAAATTTGATATGTACGTTTTGGGTATGATAGGAAAGGATACATTTATGTACATGCAAATGATTCCAAAAAACCGAAATACCATTATGTTTATTACTACTTACAAATTTTACAAACAACTTTTTTGGAACATACGTAATCCTAAAATGTAGCATCGTGCTACAGATGGCGTTTACTGCGCCATTTGTAGTATTTTCTAAAACTTTCTATTTAATTCCATTTTAACAAGAAATTTACCATTTTGATTCGTTTTTATAATTTTGGTTTTCTAAAATACTTTAAGAAAGGTATTTATTCCAGTAGTTACAAAACCAAATTTAGTTTAGATCCTTTAAATTAATAAATAGATACTTCCTTGCGACGCTACACGACGCTACGTTTTGTAACTAATATGCGTCAACCGCCTGTCGTTATAAACGATAATTGACTCAAACACCTCTTTTAATATCTACTTACAGTACTTCACTTAAAAAACATTTTCTTTGCAATCTCTTTGTTGACAAAAATTTAATTAAAACTACAAGTGTTCGCCGTATGTGGACTAGGCCTACACCAATTAGCGAACATGTAATTGCAATTAGATTCGATATCCGTTCTCATTTTCAAAACTTGCATGTCATGTCATTTGTCCCATAAAAACTGATATTTAACACAGCATCGTGAAAATTATATATACCTATACACTAAGAAAAAATGGCTTCGTATTACAATTAGTTGGATTTCCTTTTTGATTTGCCACAAGGGACAATGACTATTTTGCCAACAAAACTGATGAAAAATATAACTACGAAAACATCATGGCAGAATCTGCTTGGCGAAGTTATAATATTATTAATTGCTTTTCCGATATTGTTTTTGTCGTTGAATGACTCGCGTTTTTCACGACCGAAAAATAAATGGAATATGAATGCTTCAGAATTTTTATATACGCATACACTGAAAGACTTATAAATATGTGCACAGTGTTTGTGTAATACTGTATACATAAATGTATTGTATGTGCGTAGGTAAAAATGTATAAAAATGATGTTTTATCTTTCCAAGTGGCAGAATTTGGTGAATGTCGCACGTCAGCCGTAGGGCTGATACTCTTGTAATGTAAAATTGAGCCACATCTACTGATAGGTACATCTATTTTATTCAAGTGTAGCTATTAGTCACAGAAGCATACGGATTTACCTAAATTTTAAATTTTGGATGGCAGATTTATTAAGTGGCTTTGTAAGATTAAAGAAATTGTTTTAGTAGGTAAATTAGCCAAAAAAAAAAAGGTTTATAGAGCGGTTGATTAGGGAATTTGAAAAAAATGATAACGTAAACTTTTTATCTACAGTTTATTATGAAAATATAATACAAAACTTACTATAATGTAATGTTACATTGCTGTCATAATTATAGTATGTATTAAATATTGTGGTCAACTGCGCTGGACTGTAAATAGGTACCTACATTCTTTATAAAATCTGTTTGACAAATTCACAAACCGAATATGATTCAGTTCATTAATATTTAAATTTACATTTGTATTATCTACCAAAAATATTTCATTTTGTTATTATTTATTTATTTTATGTTGCTATAAGTGTAATTTTCGAAAGTATTGCATAGAAAAATTAGCCTGGAGGGAAAGACGGTTTTACAGATGTGAATTTTACAATTACTATAGAGCGTGAATAAATAAATTAAGAAGATACAGTAAATCGAAATAAGAAAGATTATAATAAATCATTATTGAGGCTTACATTTAACCATAAATAAATAAGTGTACATAATAGTCCTTTGCAACATAGAAAAACAAATTACAAAATAGTTGTTAAGTAAATTTGACTAGAATCTACAAAATTGTATTGTATAACACACAAACACTATTCTTTGGTAGAACAGAACTTACTTTTCGTCTTTACTAAGCAACGATAAATTTGAGTAAACTAAACATTTGCGATCAAATAATAGAGGTCTTCAACCCTGTAATAAATATTGTTAATAAATTTCAGAATATTTCTGTGGTTTAAATGTACAGACGTTAGAGAGAGAATTCGATGATAATATTTTGACCAACAATAAAACCTGCAAATTCTCCTAAAATAGTTTTCACCAGAAATTTGTACAACTGCCGAAGTCTTATATAATAATCTACAGGAAAACGAGAAAATATTTTGGTAAAGCCAAACTAATTGACCTTTCTAATTGTCATTTTTCTTACGACCAACTAAATAATTGAATTACTACGTAGATTCATATACTACTTGTTTGTGACTTGGATAAATTCAAATTTAGTTCAAATTGTAAGTTACAATATTTATCTATGTTACGACTAAATAGCCAGAAATTCGCTAACACGCGTATAGTTAGTTCAAAATGTCATAAACCTTGACTTTGGGTTGTGCAGTGGCAAAATTCCACCAGTTTGTTGATTGATTTATACATTTCTACCTCTTAAAAACATTGACCGTCACTGTTAGAAGCTGCATCCGTTGTCGTACACAGCAAGGCATATGGTTGGCAGCCCAGTGAAGTCTCATGAGATTTTGAACTATCTATAACAGCCGGTTAATATGCATTTCATATACTGTAATTAAAACGTGTGCATGGAGCGTATATTTAATTAACCTGCTATTACGCGAAGTAGCCCATTTCTACCTACATATATTGTAACATGTGCTCGATGTATATAAAACTTGGACAGTAATATTGAACAACCCCTGACATGCTAAAACGCTATTCACTTTGGATTTATATATTTCTACTCATCTATATAATTATTATGTAAATGACCGCCTAGGGCAGCGCTAGTATTTTTTATACGGTACATTGTTATGTTCGATTAGTAAATAGGTATATTATTCATAATGATATCTTAAAACAGATGCAAAAACTATTGCTGACGCTATTGCTATTATAATATTATAAATTTCAGGCAGGTTATGCTAGTGTGAATGGGGAGCGCCCGTTAATCGCGTTTTTACTTCAATTTTGACTGCATAAAACTAAGTTCTGTTACGTAGGTATTCGGTTATATGTATTTACTGTAATTATTTTTATGGATTTTACATCGTTTAGCGGAAATCTTGTTAAACGTTAATGAAGTCGTCGACACTGAAGACTAATTTTACCCGTTACCTACTCCCTAAGGGCGACTTAAAGCCGTTTGCAATCCAGTTTATTTCTATTTAATTAACTTTTGTTCACGTTATAAATCTTGTCAGTGCCCTTTCACGGAATATGCCAGATAAAACACAAGAATAAATCTTCATGTTGTTTCCAAAAGATAAACACGATAGTCAACGAAGAAAAAAATGGAAATACACAACAGAGAAGTACCACTTCGGTAGGCAGCAGTACAACGCGTTATATTTTGACCGGATTAATAATAATACGATAATTAATTAATCGAAATGAAACGAATTTAAAATTATAATAAAATCGGTTGCAATACAGAACATGTCTACAAAGTTTTACATTCATTGAAATTAAGTTTTAATCAAGACGGTAGGTAGTAGTACGGCTACAGTTTTGTGGAATTTAATGACAAAAAGTTAATTACTTTCCAGTTCGACGGTACTGCTTTCGTTAGGAGAATAAAGTTACTAAAACTCAATTTATACAAATGGAACCTACAAAATCCTATTTCGAAGTACAACGTCTGGAAAAGTTCCAAACTTGAAGAAAATTAAGATGTAAAGCAAACTGGACGTCAATCTTATAACTTATTCTTAAATTCACTTCTCTTATTCGCGCTGCACAAAAAGCTTACTTTTAAAACAATCACGTTGAAATTACCTACTCAAAACTATTGCCCATCTCGTAAGTATCCGTACAACGCTGTCGATTTATAACGGCAACAAAAATTGTTGTTACGCTTAATACCTGAAGTACCATTAACGTAAAATAGATTTTATTCATAACGGATTGTTAGAAGAGCTATTGCAATTTTTCAGTATATTAATAGCAATAAGAGTGTATACGAAATATCATAATTAATTTTTTGTTCTGTGAATATTTCATTTAAAAAACACTTGTATAATTTAGGAATAATCACAAAAGGAAAGGAAAGAGTCAGCTTGGAAAATTGCATAAAATAATAATACGTATGTTTATTAAATATTGTAGACTTTTCTTTTGGTTTCTGTTTATTTTGGGAAACGGTAAACCGGCCCCCATTCACTAAGCTTTTATAACTCTAACGCTATCGTCGTTATAAACTAATTTAAGAATAAGTGTTCGTTAATTTCTATATTGCTATGGTTTCTGGGGCAAAGGCTGTGCCCTCGACCCGCTACTTTGGTTATTGCTTTTGAATACCCGGCGCACTCGGAGAGATGTTGGTCTCTTTTTCACAATGATACTCGTTATCATTAAATTTTATTGCTTTAAACTTTGACTTGTCTACATACGTTATCGTTATTGTAAACACGTTTATTTTTATCGTATCATTGCAAATTGCTATTGACTGCAGTGTACAAAGTGTTTAATTTTTCGTAGCACCAAGAAGTAAATTCAAACAACAACAACAGTATTAATTGTAATATGTATACAAAACACTTTAGGTACATACGTTATTCACTCTTTTTTTTGTTATTAAATATCGTACGGTAGGTACCTACTATAATAATTGAGTGTAAATGTCTTTATTGCTCTTGGTATGTAACTACACACAATTATATTACTTAGTATTACAATTTTTATTGCTTATTTGACCATTAACGGTTACTTAAAATTTTGAGCGTACCTACAAGTGTCCATGTGAAAAAAAGGAACCAACATCTTCAATCCGCCATGACGGCCAGAACGTTTTACAAACTATATTTTTATAGAGAAAATAAGACCCCTACTCCTATCGTTTAAGTCATCTCTATATCAGCTAATTCACTTTATGCGATGAGTTAGTTACACTTGATTCATTATTATTTTGCTTAGATTTACGTACTACTAACTGTTACTCTTTTAGAATTTAGCAACCGAACGCGATGTAGTACGTAGGTATGTAGTTTTTACTAGCGCGTGAATTAGTAAGATCTGAAACAAGTTTAACTAAACAATCATCTCGTTCAACAAGAGTTCGATGGGCGCATTCGCGTCTTTTGGTGTTACCGTGACTTAAGTTCGTTGTGGGCGTGAGAAAAACTCAGCTTTAGTCGTTGTTCCGAAAATTCTTTTACTAAGGCACCTACTCGCGAAACTCTTGTTCAAATCCATATACATACAATATGTATAGTGTACCTAATAATCGGCTTCTAATAAAGGCCCGGCACTACTCTAGCAAACGCGACAAGGTACATATGTCTGTTATAGATTGCAGTGGTCACTTTTTTGCTATAGCTTACACAACCGCGTATCGATTATACATGAAACGATGCATATTTATTTAGTAATTACACGGGAACTTTTAGAGGTAATGAATTTATCTAGATAGGTGTCAACCTAATGCTTACGCATAATCTAAATTGCAGTACATATTTTTTACTATAGACTCTAATCGTAATGTCATTTAAAATGTAAAGGGAGTTTGTATAGTATAGAAGAAAGTGACCACCTTAAACCATAATCGACGTATTCCTGACGATTTCGTTATCTAATCAATGACTAGTTTTACACTCGCCTGGCTCAGTGCTCGGGCCTATTGCACTGGCCCATTCAACTCTAATTTTTTAACATTCGTACCAAGCACTCGATTCGATACTTACCATACCGTTTTTCTTTATTTAAATCGTTAATCAACGCGTTTCGTCATAACGAAATTTCTCATTAATCTCTTCGACCGAAAATAAATTGTCAACATTGTTTAATAATAATGTTTAACATAACATACATCTATTACAAGGCATTCGAATCGAGTGCAACTACCTACTAGATACGTGTAAATAAGCGCAACCCTATTATAGAATAAAATAATATTCCTTTTTGTTTGTATGACGTTAGAATACGTAACGTATGCTATTATTCTACCTTTATTGTTATTATTAATAGACAATATGTATATTGTAATAATATAACTCGTTAAAAATCTGTATATAGGTACATTTGCAAAAATACTGCCAAAACTATGCTCTTGTTATCGTTATAATAATTATCATCATTATATTATTATTATTATTATTATTATTATTACGTAATATATTAGTTGTTATGTATAATTTACAATTTACTTTACGGTATCATACAACTGGAATGTAGGAGTACGTTGTGTTTTAGAGCTCGGAGCCCGTTTTAAAAATATGTAAAAATTAAAAATACGAAATAATCACTTAATTGACTACTTAGGTGACTAGAGTTATTCCACAGACTCTGCTTCCAGGAGAGGCTATGACTAGATTCGATCACAGATGGCAAAAAATTAGCCGGAAAGTCGATCAGTTACGGTGCGATAAGAAACAAGTTCGTTATTTAGTTTTTTTCTTTTTCGGGCAACCCAATTTTAAACACCACCCCGAGCTATATAATTGCCAGTCTGAAAACCGAACTGAAAACCTACTTAAATTACTTAAGTATTTAATTAATTAAGACTAATTCTTTGCAAGATTTCGTTGCTCGAGAAACGTTGCATCGTTCGTGAAGAACATTTAAAAATATTTTTTCTGGCACTCTAATTAAGTATAAGTTAGTGGGGGTGCCGATAACATAATAATCTATCCTTGCTCGAAGACGCAGCCAGTGGCGGCGCGCTTGTCCTTACACCTAAGCACTAAATTAATGGACGTGTTACGATGTGTTATCTTGTTGGGAGGGATATTTACAAGGGACTCCAGTCCTGCGAATAAATCATCACTAATCTAGACGCCCTGGCAGGGCTGAAATACCGCTCGAACGTGCGACAAGTCGACTAGAAGCTCTCAGGCTAGAATTTCTGTAAGCCAAACGACAAGGCATCGGCATACCTTCACTGTTTTTTTTTTTTAACAGAAAGTCAATTCTAACCGATTACATAATATTGAGTCGTTACTAAATCAGCAATAACCTATACCTATCAGCTATTTACTGAAAGCGACTTGGTAAAAGAACAAAAAAATCATTGAAGAAGGTTCGACTTAACACTAGGCTTACAAGAATTTGTTGTCTCTAGAATTGAACGACCACTGACTAGAACAACTACCTGTTCGCCTAACAAAAATAGCCTTAAAATTATAGCCTTGGGTTCTTTGTGTTAGTAGGTCTTTGCAAAACCGTTGTATGTACTTCCTTCCGTTTGTAATCAATGGCGTAATATAGTAAATCTGTCTAAATAACCGGGGCATACTATAGTGAGAATTTTAACATCTCGTGACTGAGTGCATTGAAAGAAGCGATTAACCTGCATGTACATGAATAGTCACCACCGGCGATTCCGCAGAACGATTTCCTTCATCGGATTCGTCCTTAAGGCACGCGGACTCCAGGTGCTTGTTTAGGTACGACTTGAGAGCGAATGACTTGTGGCACCTGGGACACTCGAAATTCTTATCGGCTGAGTGCGTCTGCATATGAGCACGTAAATTTGATCGGTCGGCGAAGGCTTTGCCACAATGAGCGCAACCGTATGGTTTCTCGCCAGTGTGGGACCTCAAATGGCCCTGCAACAGCCACGGGCGCGAAAACTGTTTCCCGCACACGCCGCACTTATGCTGAAGCTTATGAGTCAGCACGTGCATGGCCAAAGCCGGCATACTCACGTAGGCCTTGCCGCAGGTGATACACTTTTTAGCCGCCTGAGAATCTAAACTACGATGCGTTTGTTTGTGCCGCGAAAGGTTACTAGATGTGGCGTACTGTTTACCGCATTCTCCACAAGTGTATTTCGGCTTCTCACCGACGGCCGGTTTTTGTACAATTCCAGGAGAATCCTCCTGAGGAGGCATTCGCTTCTTCGACCGACCATCACTCACAAAAAACGCTTCGTAAGTATACGCCACCGTTTTACTTGGCGGCACGGTGATTATGGTTGCGGCATTAGGTGGAGTTTGAGACGATTGTACAATCACCTGATGATGGTCCTGCGGGTACTCCTTTTGACCGTGCTCTATCAGAATCGGATGCGGGGGGGGCGGCGGCGGGGGAAGAAACACTGCAGTGGAAGCGCTGAGGTCTAAGATCGCGTGTGCCGCATGCAAATCTTCTTCGGCAGGTACGCGAGGAACCGGAGCAGGAGCCAGAGCCGGTGTCGGCCTGTCGTCCAATGAGTAAGGACGGTATATGTCCTTTTTTTTCGGGGGCAACGACAAGGCCGCCCCTGTACTGGTAAAACACATAGAAAGGGACTTACGAGAACGGTTAAGATTAGGAGGCGATGTGTCGTACTCGCTCCTTAGTTCGTGACTCTCTGTCACCGTTCTCAGAGTTGCATAGGACGGTTGCTGCTGGTTCGTTGAAGAAACTGGAGGATCGGTTCTTGAAGTAAAAGATGACGTGTACGCTGCGGGGGGATAGTCTTGAAGATAGCCTGCAACAATAAAACAAAGAGTGTACTATATCTCGTTCGCTTAAAGTAATATAACTATTCAAAAACTCAAATGTGAGGCAATCACTGCCGGAATTTTAAGTGCATAAATAATTTGAGCTGTTGGATGTTTACCCAAGTAAACTGAGTTTTGGTTACGTGGATTACCCCGCTCAGATATACTTTAATAAAATAGAAACCTTGCTTAATGTGATTGTAATATATACCATATTTGCAGGATAAGAAGAATTATAAGAAAAAGAATGAGGGTTTATAATGTTCGACATCGAAAGCAAGTCACGGTCACGTCCAAGAGGGGGAATTACAATGCGGCTTCGAACTGCAAATATTGAAAGATGTCAAATGTTATCGACTTGAGGGTTGCTAGATAGAACAGCGACTGAAACGAAGGCTTTTATGCTGCCTACTTTAACCAATTGATTTTTCAAGTTGGCTGTATCGTCAAAGCATAAAAATAGAAAGCTTTACGGCTGTCTGTACGTAGTAGATACATATAAAGTAAAGTCGTTCTGAGATTTCGCGATATATTTGTAATACTTAGAATAAAAGCCGATCATTTTAAACCAACACAAATGTAGGTACTTTGAAGTATTTCACAAATTAATTTTCACAAACGTTTGAATGAAAAATGATATCGCCTTTAAAATTTTAATTCCATTAGACTCTACAGGTATTCGAGTAGATATTTCTCTCACTTTCCACTAAACCTCTAAGATGATAAAGTGAACCAATTACCAATTTCAAAGGAAAGCGGTATTTCTCGTTCGTTCTTTTTTTCCCTCAGCTACCGTAACGAAACGCGTTTGAAACTTTTCAGTTTTTCTTGAGAAAAAGAATCATTTGTTCTTTTGGGGTAACGCTCGAGGAAAGAACCTGCTTATTATGTTTTCGAGAAAAATACCTGCCGCCTAAATTGTGGCCATTAGTTGTAGCAATTCCTTAACCACGCGGCAGCCAATTTATAAAGACTCTACGAACGAAGAGAGAATTTAGTTTTCTCTCTGGATGTTTTTTCATTTGCTTTCTAGATCGTCCTTTTTTTTAACTGATTATTTTACTGTCGCAATCTGTGACGCTCATGCTATTTATTTTATTTTGTAGAAAAGGTTTATGATACCTACTTGGTCACATTTATTGCCTGGTTTATGTGATTCTTTATCAAGCGATTCGGAAATCTTTTCAGCGAGTTTAGTATATCGTGACGGGCTTTTCATGTCTTTTCATGATAGAAACTATTTGACGGTTATTATTATTTTTTTTTTTGAATAACAGAAACATTACTAATGTTTATATATATAAATATATGTATATTATGTGTATGTTACGTACCGTTATAAAGAATAGTGGTACCATGAGGTGAGGTTGGCGGAGGACTAGGAGCAGTAGCTCCAGCGGTAGGACTCGATGGGCCCCAACACGAGACTCCGGAAGAATCGCCTACCACATCAATTTCTTCCTCTTCTTCCTCCTTCTGCGGCTCGGACCTTTCTGGCCACGGGTACGCCTTCCACTTCTTGGCCATGAGACAGCGTGGCATGTCGCTATCGTTGCCTCCAGGTCGGCCACGAAGACGCCTTCCGATAACAGCAACAGTTCCGACGCGACACTGTTATAATCGCCGCAGACTTCATGTTATCACACAAAAAAGCGAACACAACTTTATCATTATTATCAACATAATATTTCTCAGCAACAATCCAACGAAAAGGATTAATTGATTGGTTAGCGTTACAACAGTTACTTAATTGTCGTCGTTACCAGTTACAAATTACAGCGTTGGCCCAACGGTGGATGAAGAACGGATACGCGGGAATGGATTAATTTAATTAAACGTTAGCTACCGGCAACTATGATAACGATATTTTATTAGTGACGAGTAAATGATGAATTATTAGTTAGTAATGAATAGTATGTGTGTGTATGTACAGGGAAAGAGGCAAGAGAGAAGTGGACAGCTAGCAGCGATAGTAGTACGAAACGAACTAAGTCAGCGCACCCCCTCGTGTCTTCGCGGCTAGCGCGCACCCTCCGGCGCTTTTATACGTCGGTGGTGCTTTGGTCGCGATGCTGGTGGGGCATACGTGAACCCCTCTGTCGAGTTTAGCGCACGAGCGACGCCGGCGTCGATGCTGTGCCATACCATACCATACCATACCATACCATACCATACCATGCCATGCCATGTCATGCCGCCTGACTATTAGGAATAATAATCATAATGGTGATAGTAGTGCAACCGAGTTTTCGTTACGGTTCGCGACACACACTTTGGCGTTAGTAAGTGGTTGTTTGCTATCTGGTCAAGTTTACCGAAAATTTTATGAATATTTTCAGTCAATTATGAAATTCCTGGCTGTGGTCGAATTAAGCACACAATTCTAATTGAAGTCAAAAAAGATATCAGTCGGGTGGAGTATAATCTTACTTTTATACTTAACTTTTAGAAAAAACTGAACAACGCTTTAGTTTAATGTTAAAATACTAAAGAAAACACAGAAAAATAAAATTAAACTAACCTTTAAAGGATCAACAACACGACTATTATTTACAAAACTTATATTAGCTTCCATGGTCAACAATTTAAGTCTCCTCGGCATCAGCGAAATTCCTTATGCACTATGAAAAACATACATGTACCTGTTGATATGGTGTGAAAGACATATCATACCTATTCTGAATGTTTAGTATATATTTTTCATTTGCACGTGCATTTCTGTCAATTTACTTGTTTATCTAATTAAAAGATTTTTCCCCAATTAACATTTTTTATGTCCGATGAATCCTTAAAGTTTAAATATGTATAGTAAACCATTGGTATAAACCGACAAACAATCAAACAAGAATCCACCGATTGTTAAAGAACATCCTTCCTTCCGGCGAACAGTAGTAGACGGTTACAGTCACTCTCAAATTACAACAAAGATAGGCATCATTAACACCAGCTGAAACCTTACAAAGTTACCCTTCCTTTTTCCTTTACCAATAGGTAAAATAAGTACCTTACGTTATATTTTTCTGGCACATCTGCAACTTTTTACCGATACGTTACAGACTAACGGCTACAAATTTACAGCAATAATGTAATCATCTCACAATAAGACTAGTACTAGTACCAGTCATGTTCGACTTATCTCAAAAAATACAAAGGTACGCAAACATTTCAAAAGTTCTAAGCGCTATGATTAAAGTGAAAGTTAATATCAACAAGTAAGGCTTGGTAGATCGGGGACAGTGGATTAAATTTACTTCACACAGTTGCAAGTACGATACCTATCTTTTGTCCATTATGTCGTGTCATCAGGTGCCCGTTTGGCGAGGGTGGTAAAGTAATAATGTAAGCAAGCGGACGTTAGCTTTCGATAGCTGACCATCTGAGAAGGTGAACTCTTGGTGAGTGCCTAAAAAGATGTTTGAGACCGAACACGTGCCACACTCAAGCCGCACGATCAGCTGTGAATTTGCGAAGAAACGTCAGCTTGAGTATTATTATTCTTCCGAGTATTTCATTACCAGTTGAAAAATTGTAGTTGACAGTGTCAACGAGAAGATGATAAGGGAGTGCCACCCGTCACCCCTGTTCAGTTCTCAAACTGTTAATAGAATTATGAACGCTCACCTGGTGTAACGAATAGACAGAAGACATGAATACGACCAGTTTTATTACAAGAGAAAAACAGAAAACAAAACTCAAAGGAATGAATGACTTTATTCTTTTTCGGCGCCTGTTCCTCATATGTTACGAAAAATTATTTATTCGTACGATAAGTTACATCCGGGAAATTTGAAATGTCATTCAAATTGCGCGGTCGTGTATGGTTTAAGCGAAATTTTACACTTTGGGGTGAAAAGTTTTGTATTTCCCTCCGAATGAAGACCGACCAAAACGGAACTCTCCTAACAGAAAAGGCCAATAGTAATTAAGAAAATGACAAATGATGAGAGCCGTTTCTGTTTCAGTTGTGGTTCCCAAAACAATGCAATCAAAAAAGTAATTACTGCGAAATTGCATTTTGCGGCCTTTGGAATGTTTGCTGCTTCGAACATCGCGAGAGAGCATTGATGAGATTTTAAATAGTTTATATAATTTAGTTCGTTGATTGTTTGGTTTCACGGTCTCTGCTGTTTGTTGCTTAAAATTCTGCATCCAAAAGGCTACTTAATTGCGTAAGCATGAGATTAGGTTTACACTTTAAATTCTAATTGCTATTTTATACGTATGTTTATAAAAATAAGTAAGTAGTACAAGTTGCTTTACAACCTTAAATGGAAAATACTGAAACCTATTTCGTTTCTAGCAATTTTTTGTTTTTGTTGAATATGCAGATTATCGACAAAACGATTGCCCCGGTCTGGCTGGAGCTGGTCTGTATTGAACAAACTTATTCGGCTCAACAAGTATGTGGTACGGGCTATTACTCCTATCGTTCAATCTATCTTTATGAACAGAACTAGTTTTGTACACGTATTTGTGACTATACGAGCCGAACTCTCTCAACACCGACACACAACACACCACCTTTTTGCCTTATAGTGTTAAGGTGTCTTTAACCTTCATAACTCATTCTCTGCTAGTACTCCTAATTGCACATAATAATATTTTTTCTCCGAAATTTAAAATACGATTAAAAACATTGAAATATTCTGGATGAACGCGCATTAGACAAAACAATTTTTATTTTTCGTGTGTACAGGGAGAGATCTATTTTTCACATCACACGTTACGTCCGTGTAAGTTATAAACTGTAACCTTTTAAGGAGAAGACGTATGTAATCGACGTTTGATAAATTTGTTATATTTTCACAAGGTAATGCTTATATCGCAGCTAGTTCGAGTAGGCAAAAAGTATTGCAGTAAGTGTAGCTAAATCTTGATTTTACGTTCAGTTAGCCACATTTAAATCCATAATCTAGCACGTCACCCAAAGCCTCTAGTTGCAACATCTAATACAGATTACGAATTCTCACACATCTCACCTCTTTCTTCTTTGTTTGAAATTGTAAATATTTTTCAATTGTGCCAACGAAAGGTTCGATTGTGGACGACTAACGAATGTATGCACACATGTATATAGAATTCGAAATAATTTTGACACTTGGCTGCCGCTTGGTTTTTTTTGTTCGAAGGATCAAGGAGGTGCAATTGCTCATTTGCTCTCATTAATAAAGAGCACCCACTACGAGATGTAGAATTTTAGGTTTGGTAGGTGAAGGAGGGAAGCAGGCTGTATAAATTTGTATCAACAAATACATGTCTATGTCGAAGTTGTATATAGGCAGGCACATGATGGCCCTGCTTGGCTGTACCGGAGATGGATTTGAATCATCAATTTGCCGTGACAAACTACCGTCCATAGAAAACCAACGTCGCTTAAGCCCGCGCTCGAGAGCTACTCCCTTGTCGTAAAATCCTTCATAAACGTACAGGATTAGAGTCTGGCTGACATATTAATGGTCGCAAGCGAAAGCAAATTGAGGCCTCGCACGGTCCATTTAAACTGTCCTGCATCGTTGCTCCAAGAACCAGTCATCACCGAAGGATAACCGTATCCTTGTCTTATCTTTGTACCAATAAATACATCTACAGCGCCTTCTAACGCTGCTACTCGCGAAAAAGGCGATGTTAGATCCGTTGTCTAGAGTTACAATTCTTCTTCTTCTTCATTATTTTTTTAAGAAAATCCCTATCTATCTAACGCCTAATATGTAGATATTTAAAATTGTTAAATTTACAGGAATAAAATTTGTTTTGTTAGCTGTCACAATAATGTTATTTAATCCAAAGGCCTATAAATTCAGTTTTCTTCGCCCTTTATAAGTTAATTAAGACCTTGGAAATATTTTAGTATGTTACATTTAGGAAGACGTTTTTGGCGCGAACCGGGTCGTTTGCCGAAAATTGAAGAATAATAAGGAGAAACAGCAGACCGAAAGCTCATTAAATTTATTTCAGATTAAAGCGTGAGCGTCAAATAAATGGGGAAGGAGACGTCGTTATTCTTGTTTTCAAAAAGACCTACTACGTACTGTTAAAACGAAAATAATTATTTTCCAAGAGGGTACCTAATACACCGTCCGTTGTATGTTGAGTCTTCATTAACCTGTTTGCTCACAATCTTCTTATCTAATAATAAACGCTTTCTCTCTACATTTCAATAGACAACGTTGCTTTAAAAGGAAAACATTTTATGATCGCAAAAAATTACGGACGATTCAATTCTTAATTGAATTTCGTCAATGAAAATTGATAAGTCGCTTAAAATGCATAAATTTGTTAGCTGAAATAACAAGAAGTTGCCGTTTACACGCAATATTACTATTGGGACGACGAAATAGTGTAGAATGAAATGTTTTTAAAATTTGTAAATTTCTGTCACATTTTTCAAAGATGTGCAATTTCGTGCTCGACTCGGTTGGAAAATTACTGTTAATTAATTCCCTTTCATTACCTAATAAGTTGGCAGATTCTTGCGACAAGGCCCTCTGAAAGGAGTTCATCGAGAGAGGCATTCCTTGTAAAAATGTTAGTACCGGTTAAACGTCTTTTGTCTCCGATATGAAAAGCCTTTAAAAATTCCCTCGTAGAGCCAGATAACTCGCAAGAATAATTTCGTTGCTTTGGCGGACTGGCAGCTAAATTACCGACCCGTTCAAAGTTAGTGTCCAATTAAATTATGCCATCCTTTGCAGACGATTCAGAAAAAAAATTACAAAGACGACTCACGTTCTAAACGAATGGACGGACGTATAGTAGCAGAGAAGTCGACGTCTTCTTTCCAAGAGAAAAATCACTGGTTGCTTCATTAGAACTTTCTAACTTTATTTAGGAAAGTTAAATGCTCTAATTAGGGTTATTCCTTTTAATTCCAGAAAGAAATTTACTTCAAGCCAAACTCATAATTCGTGAATACCTACAAATATTTTACAGTGATGGAGTAATGTTATATTAATAAACACTCTAAACACAGTAGATATGGATAGAACTGCATTTGTGCATTCATTTTTAATCAGTAACAGCTGGAGGTGGTATATAACTTATAATTTTCTAAATGTAACTGAGGCCTTGGTCGTTTAAGATTTTTCATGCAATGCATTAACCGCGCAGACAGCGGCGGAATAAATTTTGCGACTGGACACAATTTGACACTGTGCCACGGCAAATCGCGAGTAAAACTAAAATACTTGCTCAGTTGTTAGGTATTTTGTGTCATTGAAGACGATCTCCTTTCAACGTCGTTATAAATGATATCTATTCTAAATCACCGATTAAAATGTGCTGTTAGAGAACTAATAAAAGTCATTCTTGTCTCACGTTTAACATTCAACACTCAGAGAATCAATAATGGAGCGATTCCTGTTCACTTTTTAATTACTATAATTAATTGACGAAGTCTTTAGCCGTCATCTAGTGTCGCTTGACGTCGCGTCGTTTCACTTGCCGTCGTGTACCTACACGGCAACGAAGTCGTTTAGGAACACGAATACCGTTTTATTTCCTTCGCCACGAACCTACATCTTCATCCATCATAGCGTTCCACGGGGGCTCCCGTTAATAGCTATTAAATGCCACCAAAACGTCACGTCAACGAAACTTGTTGGCCTTGCCTTGTCGCAGGTGAATTTCTATCCGAACTGTTATTAAGAAAATTAACACGACTATAAATCAGTTTCAGATCTTAACCATCAAAAAAAATACTAAAGGGTAACTGTAAATAAAGAAAATTAAATCGCGATTTCGAACTTTTTAGCTACACACATTGACTTTTTGTCAGATATTTGTTAAGCCTTGCCAAGGACTTCAACCACTGCTGTTAGCAGCAAATGTCACTATATCGCGATATATTGCTTTTAACTGTAATGTTTTTAAGATACTATCATCTATCAAATTAGCGTGCGTATGTGGAAGGAAATTGTGTATTGTATTAATTGTGTTAATAAATTGATCAAAAAAAATGTATACCTACTCAACTCAATGTGCGATTTCATAAAAAACAATAATCTGTCGCTTTCTTTTTTTGTCGATTTACAAATTGTCCTAAATCTGATTGTAAGTCGAGCATCTTCTTGTTTTTAGTGGTACCTCGCTTTGTTTCTCGAGGCTTTTAAAAGATATTGATCGACGAATGCTAAAGTACATGTGACTTAACGGCTCCGGAAATCCTTGAGTAAACAGATTACAAATCCCGAAAGTGACGTATTACCTGCCTTAGCGCTACTAAACTGACTGACGGTGCTGATCCAACGCAATGGGATCGGAGAACGGGCGCCTCTGGTTATTAATTTCCTTCCCATCCATCATTTTTAATAACGATCCTTTAATTAACTAAATTAGGCTTTGTTCGTTCAGTTTTAACGTGATTTTTCGTATAATTCTACAAGTCGAATTAACCATTAGCCAACCAGTCTGCGCACCCCTCAAAGGCAAAATAATTTTGCTAATGAAATAACTGTGTTATCTTTACATCAAAATTATTGATGAATTTAGCGGTAATCTGCTGTTTTGTCACCACGGCTGCCTACTAATTAGTATTTAAAATCACAGCTAAGCTAAGGAAATCTATCCTAGATTGCCATTATCTTTTCTCAGTAATAGCGTATATCTACATCAGTTTTTGTTATACATACAGTAACTACGTTAATGTTTTTATACACAGGAAATATTCGTACCTACTATTCACCACCAGCATCCGATAGTAACTTTTGTTTACATAAAGTACACAAAGCAAATACTTTGTGGTTAGTAATCGCAGTGTCACTGTTGTGCAGAAGTTGACTTCAGGCAGTGTCAGCAACAACCGACAAGACATAGTCATGGACATCGTAGTTCCACTATCCCATGTCCTAACCAACTATTTCATTGCAACATTACTGGGAAATGTGCGCGACCTGCTACTGTGATTTATGCAATACCGCGGCGGAACGTGTTGCTTATAAAAGGGGATGAGGCGATGCGGTCGCGAAGGTATGCGAAATTGCTGTTCGTTGTTGTCGGACGAGAGTGTGCAGTTATAGCCTCATAAACTTAAACCTTAGAATGGCGATTATTAGCAGAACCACGTTAAAGTTTCGTTACAAGACATGTTATCAAATCCGAAAGCTCCTTATTACTCTTTGCGATTGCATATCTTCGAAATTTGCAGACAATTGGGATTGGTAAGGTTAAGCAGAAAGGGTGTCTACAACTTGCAACTTATTATTTTTATCTTTGTTACAAATTCTAATTCCTTTTGGTCTCCAGTTAATGTACTTGTTAACACCTTAGCATTTGTTAATTTCACCTAGCACAATCACTACAATTAGCCATTGTCAGTGATTACTGGATACAATTCTCTCTTAATAACTATTTTTTACAATATTATTGTATTCTATTATATACAACATTTCTTCTCACATGAACGGTTTAGAAAACGTTAATGTGCAAATTAACTCGACATTACTGCAGTTTATTTCTAATAAATAGCATCTACATATTGCATATGTATAATATTAATCGGAAGTTATTTTAAGTTCCGGCAATGCACCGTAAAAATACACATTTTCGTCATGTTGCGGCGCCCTCGTCGGCAATGCGTCGCAACACCACCAGCGTCGTCGAGATGCACCGCTGCGCCGTCCTATCGCCAGAGGTCGGCGTCGACGAGAGACGACGCTTGGGTAACAGGTGTCGGCGGCGTGCGCGATCGATCGGTGTGCACACGCGGGGTGCGCGTGTGCGCACTGGAATGACAAACCACCCCGCCCGTGCCTGGCGTCGAGACGCCTGCAAGCATTGCTACTCGCGAACGAGGGAGTGGTGCGAAACAAGAAAATAACCTTTACATCCACTACGTCCATGACCGAAAGAAAAACCGCCATTTCCTCGATTGTTGCTCATCTCTTTATTATCATCCGTCGTCGTTGTTGTACCGTATTTAGTGCGTCTTTCTATGCTGTTTGTGCGTCTAGTGCGGGAATAGTGACGACATCATCGTAAGTAACGAGCGCAGCAAGAGGAAGCGCAGTACCAATTCTCGAAACCGTCCATGTTTATATACAAGGTACACACCACACCAGATATTAGAGATTCTCCTTCTGCCCAGTCGCTATTTCGACTAAAATCTTCTGCCAACAAGACCTGTTTACCTGTTGGATAAGTCTGTGACGTGTGTTTTTGCTACTTGTTGCTCTCTCACCTATACATGGTCACCGACGCCATCATCGCTCCTTCCCCTCGTGACAACCACCTGACGATTATTAGAGCACTTGCAGCGGCCCATGCAACGGTTTATACATTCCCAAACATATCATAAAAGACAATATCTTTCTAAGTACTCTTCATTAACTAAAATTCCTAATAATAATAATCGCCCGTCACAACAAAATAAGAAATTTACGGACTGTCTCTTGTTCACTGTTTAAATTTCGTGCCATAACTCCATGCTGAGGTAGCCTTTGGTATCACTTTGGTAGTGATTTACTACGTATTTATTAACCTGCACCATGCCCCGTTGTTACATGGTCAAAAAACAAAGCAGCAAGTACCAATCCACCATGAGAGATAACTGGGACGAAGAACCTACAGGTACTACGAATGCTCCGGAGAGCCCCATAGAAGCTTGCGTGGCGCCACCCTGTTACACTCCTCTAACCAATCGTTCCGGTAAGTTTCTGGGTAACAAACCTCCTGTACTAGAACGAGTACTTATGATTGATACAATACTAAATACTATTCCTTTAAGTATTTACTTAACTCAACCGTTTATTCCTTCGCGTTTTCTTAAACTATCTGCTATACTTTTTGAATATTTAAATATTGTTTTGATAATGGTATAGTGCGTCATAAAAACTCATTCCATCCATCGTACAACCAACATTGTGTGTGTACGTATACACTTCGTTAAATGTCCTGCAGACTATGAATTGTCAAAAGGGGAGTCAAAATTGAAAAAGCATCTAAGTAAGTGCTACAAATGTTTTGGGTATATGTTTTGAAATTGGTATTAAATAAGAAAATCAAAGGGTTTCTACCCTGCACTTTTACATAAAATTCCCTCATCAAAACTGAATTTTTTTCTGTGAAAACTTTGAAATGCTCAAAATTTGTGAGTTGTATAAATAGACTATTACCTACATCACAAAATATTTTGAATCGAAGAAGCTGTTAAGTCAACAGCGGCAACAAACACAGGATTTAAGTTAAAAACACTTCCACAATAATTTTTTCGTCACACTGTTTGTACGTATTTCATATTTTAATGCTTTACTAAAGTTTTCGCGAAGTAATTACGGTGGTAGCACTACAAACCATTTTGATCTTCTTTCCTATTACTCTCATAATTTCTGGGTCGGACATGTATATATTTATTTTTCACCTTAGAAGAGACACACTTTCAAGAGCTAATAATATAATCCCTTTCTGTTTCTTATAGTGTATGAATTTTACTTTTGATGTTCATTGTTGGTTAGATACCTTCTAAATCATTAGAATGAGATAGCATCAACCACTTACTTGGGAATATGATAACGTCAATGGAAACTCATGCTGAAAGCCTGACATTAAAGTGCACAGCAGATAGTATAGTAGATTTTGTTGTCTGGATGGTATACGAATTACGGTAACCCAATATTCGAGAACTTTGATGCGGTCTCAAAGGTTTATGACGGAACTGACATTAACCGAAATCGATTTTCCATAAGTCTACGAGTGCATGGTAGCTTTTAAAGTAACTTCATGAACCTGGAAGATACGAAAGGTTTTTACCTACTTAATGCAACGTGACAGGGCACAGAAACGAGAAAAGGCCGAACTAGTAAAGCGATTTCACTTGCGCTAATATTTTCAATCAAATAGTTATGTAGGTATTAATAACATAATATTAGAAAACGATATTTCTCTGGCGTTGTCATTTAACAGGTGAGAGCCGTTTTTGTTTCGAATTTAATTTCCTTTTGCTATACAAATAGAGATATCGAAGTACATACACATTGTAGTTACTTTAGAGTCGAACATGAGTATCCTGTCGCACTCATCAAAGCCACAATTGTCTGCGCTTTTATGAATCATTTGGTGGTACTAAATACCTCTTTTCACATTACTGGGTCTTCATCCGGAAGCCTTACGCCTTATGCACATTGGTCGCGTGTCCTGCATGCACATCTGCGCCATCTCTTCGCCCACACTACGGCAATGAACTTAATTTCCTTAAAACCACTGAAAGACCACGTATTCAACCGAAAGCGGTATTGCTAAGATCGAATTCACCATTAGATAAGTAAAACAAAAAATTATCTGCGACCAGTGGTTCGAAGGATCCCATGTTTTATATAGTATTTACTGAAACCGCCATAATGTACTACGTAGCAGTAAAAGCAGTTATCACTTACAATATAAAGTAAAATTTGTTCTAATCTGAAATAAAATAATGCGTTCATTAATGAGTGCTGTATTAGGGAACCCATAAAACGATATCAGTAACTTTTTGTCTCTATAAGGAACATTAGGTTTTAAAGAGGGCTTTATTTTTATTTCTTTCATTAGCAAGAATTTCTTATTTGCAATTACTCTCGCACCTACAACTTTGTAAACCATTCAAACTACGATACTTCTTCCTGATCGAGTTGGTGGACTTTCACGGAAACATCCTGCTGAAAACAATTTGTTAATTCAAATAGTTTCAGTTTTACTGCATATTGGACTCGAATGGAAACAGAAACCAATTACAGAAGTAGACCCATCGGACACGGCAGACATACTCTAAAACTCTACTCATCGAAAACTATCGACAGTCTACAAAAAGATGAAAGAGAATTGATGAAAAAAGGACATAAAAAAGAGATACGAAACAATGAAACGGTATTCGTGCAATGGCGTGCATGCTCTAATAAGCTGCTTGTTACGTAACATCATAGAATATGCACCCACTCGTTTCGTTTACATAACTGTGAATAATTGAAGAAAATCTGCATTGCGCGCAAAGTACGGAACAAAAACTGTACGGCAATCGTGTGCGCATAGATGGTGTTGATAATGGATCGGGAGGAAAGAAAACTAAGGGCACAGCAATCTTTTTTTACTGTTCTAATTATGCTTTCGCAGTAGGTAGGTACACTTGTAATTTACATTGTTTACATACGGAAAGGAAAAGGAATAAATATGAAAAGAAAGAAACTCAGAGGTCTTTTTCGAAAGTGTAGCATAAATTGCTTTCCCAACCGAGAGTCTATATCTAAATGTAATCTATGGAATGTAATCTTTATAAGTGAAAACAACCAGTCGTATGAAATTATGAATTACCACAAATGTGATGTGATATTTTTTGTTTTTCAAAAGTCAAAGACAAGAGACAGTGCGCCTAAATTCTTACTCATTTCTAATGTATTTAACCAAATATAAGAGAGCGTTGAAAGTAAAAAAAAATAATAACTTTATAAAAAGTGAGAGTGATGAGTTTTTTGCCGAATAAAAGAAACCGTCATATCGAGGCTTTGTTTCTGTTAGTCGTCAGAAGAATTTCTTTTGTGCTGTTTGTTTTTGAAGTTAACGGATGGATTAAGGTTTTCGAGAAAGATAGGAAATGGTCGGGGAGTGTTCCTATTATTTTCAAAAGAAGTAAAAACTTGCCGAACTGGCACTCGCAGCCGAACAGCGATACATCCGTTAGCGGCAAAAAGTTCCAAGTCGCGCTGCTGTCATCGCTTAAACTTAAACACACAGTCTCGTACTTTTCATTCCTTCTAATAAGGCCACTTGCTGTAATTAACCCTGAACGTTGAAACACGAAAGAAATCTTTCGGGGCCCTAATAAAGCATCAATCACTAATTACGTATGGCATTGCAACTAATTCCATCTATAAAAAAATTGGATTGATTTGTTAAAATGTAAAAATAAATTTCCGCGTCCTTGCAAGATTTTATAAAAATTTCTTTTAACGCAAACATATTTTCGTTAGTTAGGCCAACTTTTCGCTAATGAAACGAGGCTCTCGTAACTGTAGTCCGCAAATGTAACAGTCGGATTTTCCGCCTCGTCCGTTCGTTTGATTTTATTTGATGTAAGTAGTATTTCCGTCCAATTTACTCGTTCTACGAAACGTTCTACGGTAGCTAATATGTACACTTTCCTTGTCACATTTACTTTTGACATACTTATTCTTCACGACCTTCACCTTCGTAATAACGCCACACGGCGTCATATTTATTAAAAAAACGGTCAATGATATCTAATATTACAAATAAAACAATTCATAAATTCCCTTAGACTAACTATATAAATGAAAACTAATTACATGTATGTTTAACTTTGTGGAATCTTATACGCAAATTATTTATTATTCGATTTTGTTCTCATTCTAACACTAAATTGAAAAGGCTTTTTTTTAGACTAGGCTCCACTTATACCATTTCATTTTACATAATTTTCTTTAAGAGATACTTTCTTGGTAATGTTGAAAATTCTTCTTTATTATTTCCTTACGATAAATTTTAAAAATCTGCAGCGAATGATGCGAAACAATATCACGACCGCAACTATTGGAAACGATCCAAAAGTAAAGCTTCCAAATCTTATGTTTCTAGAGTTTAGTTTCAGGAACAAAAGCTAGGGAATAGAAGGCCGTGAATTGTGTGTACACATGTACGATTCGAGATCAGAGAAATAATCGCTTAAAAAAAGTTTCTCTAAAGGAAAAGGAAGTAAAACTTTGACGTTTTCCAACCCATTAATGTAGATATGTTATATCAGAGTAAATAATACTTAGAAAATATTAACATTGATCTTCACCTCAACGAGACGTTAGCAGAGTCTCTGCAACTCCCTAAATTTACTTAGTCTTTTGATAAGATGTGATTTTTATATTAATCCCTTAAGAAATTGTTAATGGAATCACGGAATATCGATTTTCCTATATCGAACTGAAGGTAATTGTTTCATACTTTTGCTGTATTACATTTTAAAATATTTTATGCAATGAAAACTGGTTCTGCTTTTTGCCAATTTGAGTCAACTTTTGTTACAGATTCTAGTCAAGAATTTAGTAATATTGATCAAAATGGAAATAATTATTCAAATGAAAATAAAAGTATTCCTCAATTTCGAACGCGAAGCGCCGAAGAAACGGAAGCAGCTCACGACCTGTTATCACTTTCCCAAAGTCTCCCCCCTTTACCAGCGCCCGGTGCTGTAACAATTTCCATTTCTCAAAACGAATCGTCCCTCTCTTGTATACAATCGTACCGATCCCCGTCTCCCGAACAATCGTCAATAATAAATTATAAAAACGTTTCACCAATACCAGTTTCAATCCCTTGTTACCATCCCTCTATAGTTTACGTGGTACAAGTACCTGGCGTTCCAACTCCACCCACATCAGAATGTTCTTCCGACACCGAAAACCCTTTAAACCAACACACCCTTGTAAAACATGAGGTTCAAACCCTAAACGAAGCCAGCGACATTATTATTCTTCCCTTATCGCCTGCCACCGACGATAATATAAAAGACGGAAAGAAAGAATTAAACCCGAATATAAGAACAACGGACATTCCCACAGTCATAGTCAGTCCTTCCGTCGTCACCAAGGTCCCAGTGAGACAGCAGTCTGTCATAACATCAACAGCGTCGATACCTGATCGACGAATGCGAAGAAGTGGAAACTGCAGGTCGAATAAGATTGTCAAAGGTCGAGATAACAATAATGACAGTGCTTTAACCAATAATAACACGTATGTAACTAATGAAGAACAAAAAAGCAAAAGGGTAAGAAACATAATATACAGGGCGTAACAAAAATCCCAGGACGAGCTTTTATTTCGATAGCCAAAGCTTTTATAAGAAATTTTGAAAGATTTTCCTCTTCAAGTTGACGTTCTAATTATTTTTGAGGTCATTAATTAAAACTGAATCAAGTTATATTGTCTCGGGACTTTTCATGCACCCTGTATCACAATATCGATTGGTATGGCGAAACATGGTGTTTTCCGTTTGTTTCAGAAATTCTATACGGTTCTAGATACAGACTCGAAATCGGCGTCATCGGCGCCATCGACCAACAGTGTATCGGCGGACCTTGCGGCAAAAATTGCAGCGTCAAAACCTTCATCTCGATACATATGCAGCGAATGCGGTAAACAATACGCGACATCGAGTAACCTTTCGCGGCACAAACAGACGCATCGCAGCCTTGACTCGCAATCGGCAAAGAAGTGCATGACGTGCGGAAAGGCATACGTAAGCATGCCAGCCTTAGCGATGCACGTACTTACGCACAAGCTTGCACATGGCTGCGGCGTTTGCGGTAAGCAGTTTTCGCGTCCATGGCTGCTGCAAGGCCATTTGCGATCGCATACCGGCGAGAAGCCTTACGGATGCGCACACTGCGGCAAAGCCTTTGCCGATCGGTCCAATTTGCGTGCACACATGCAAACGCACTCCGCTGACAAAAATTACCGTTGTCCTAAGTGTAAGAAGACTTTCGCTCTCAAATCGTACCTTAACAAGCACCAAGAAAGCGCGTGTTGGGATTTCGGAAAGCAGAGGGATAGCGGTTTCGGAAACGGGGATCCGGATGAACCCATCGACGAAATGATCGAAGAAATTATCGTAGATGAGTAAGATGATAACATACTGTGAACTAACCATAGTCAACAAAACAAAAATGTGCACAGAATGCAATATGTCGAGGATTAGATATATTTTATATCTGTTTATCGAAACGAAAAGTAGGAGGATATTAATTATTAGTATTTTATACTAACATGATAATTTCAAGTAATGATTTTTCATCATTGTAAAGAAAGTGACTTGAAATTGAAGAAAAACAAAAGGGACGCTTGATTTTGTGCACTTTTTTGAATAAAGCTTGAAAGCATAAAGAGAGTACAGTAAAAACCAGGTATAAAAGCAATACAATAAAGATTTAGTTATCTATAAGACTTTTAGTAAGTAAAAGATGGTTATCAAAAAGCAACGAAAATTAGAATACGAGTAAAAATTAGGAATTCATTTTACCTACTTAACATTAGTCGCTTTCTGCTTTCATTAAACTTATTTCAGATTTGCTAATTAGTTTTAAAACAAAAAGCTTGATACATTCGAATACAATGTACATTATCTACAACGAAAGCAGGCCAGCATAACAAAACTTTACGCCATTAATGGTCGCAGAATTAAATATATAACTAGATATCAGTTGAGTTTACAATTTTTGACGTCCGTGACACCGTCGTATTAAATATCTAAAGTTATAAAAAAAAATTAACTGTCAAAATAGTCCGATGACCAGCGCAGAAAAGAGACGTAACAAAAGTCGACAGAAATATGTTCTATAATTCAACGTCAAAATATGTTTCGGACATCTGCTCCTGACAAAAATGGCGGTAGCATAAATCCCGAGAATTCAATAAAGGAAAATACTATAAAGGAACTCCTGTCGCAGACAGAATGCGTCATGTTTGAAACCTTTCACCGCCACCAGCAACGGATTTTTATTCATATTAATAATACTTTCGTTTTCTTTCTCACTTATTTTTTCAATTTAATCAAGTCAAAATAGAAAAGTGCTTACTACTGTACACCCCGGCCGCAGGGATTTAAAACATATTTTTTGAAAAGGAAAGATTGGAAAGATTTTCTTTCTTGTACGCATTCTCCTAAAAAATAAACTGAAGCTGGACGGTTTGAGTTAAGATGCCAGCAAAGCTTATTAGGTGTTCTCTAAGACAAAAGCACTACATAATATACAGAACAATTCGAAAGACAGAAATATAAATACGTATGTCGAAGTCAATCTGTAAATTTCGGCATTTTCCGTTGTCGGCTTACTATATCTTAAGCTATTGTATTTGACTTCATCTAATTGTGTTGTGATGGGACAAATAAAACTGCAGTTTGAAAAAATTTCAACTTTGATGAGGTTGTGGTGTGAACCAGTTTCGTGTTTTATGCGCACCACGATCATGTGCCATCCAATTAGGAATTAGAAATGATAATACAACAATTAATGCATAATTCATGGAAAACAAGCCAATAAAACTTCCGTAACCGATTCGTTTGAGGTTCTAACACACAATTCATCATATTCGATATAAACGTTCAGTTAATCGATTGCGCTATTTTCTAAATTGTCACCCAGCCGTGTAAAAAAATGCCATCAGATTTTTCAGATTGGCTGCGATTACGTAAAAGTGTGTAAGGCAGATAGTAAATGCCTGTTGAAATATTTATTTAGGTATGTGCTTACCGTAATATACCCTTTTACTGTTTTTTTGTAGCATATGTACGTAACTCTGATAGATCGTAGAGATATACCTTTCCAGTATAATCAGAGCAAACTCGTAAATTCAGTGAATGAAATTCCTTCATTTGTTGAATTTTACAAACAAATACTGTACGTGTTAATGATATTTTTTTTTTTGATGTTGGCCGATTGTCTTGTTGGCTTTGCTCGGGTTATACGGTAACGGCGCGACCAAATTAAAAGACATGGACAATTGTCGCAGCCTTAAATTTTTGCACCAATTAATTAGGATGTGAATGTAGTGAAGCAGTAGGGTAAGGTCGTTAGTTAAAAACAACAAACCAAGAAAAATTAAAAATATCTATAAAAAAAAAAGAAAAACGAAACTTTCATCCGGTTTTCAGTATTGTTGTAAGTATTTTCGTAGGAATTTTTGCTTATACAAGGGTGGCTTTTGTATTGGATGGAAGTTTCACGTAACAGACTGATCGAAACGAACATTGATTCTTTTGCATCTATTAAAAAATATTTTCGTTTTTTAGTGGATTGTCGAATCCGTGTGCAATTTTCCAAATGAAAAGTACTCATCGTCTGAAATGGCGACAGTTTATCTAGAAAAAGCAATAATATACATATAATAATACCGTACCTATTGAAATTGATAGTCAATATCGGAAATAATAAGTTTGGGAGTTCTCTCTAAAACGGAAACATCAGATGTTTCCCAGAATTGATACATGTAACATGTAAAACGATTGGTCCCGAAAATTAATTTTTGAAAAAGTCATTTTCGATTCTGACCAATTGGATTTGTTTCCGTTTAAAAATAAAAACGAAAGTCAGCCGTTTATTTGGATTGGAGAGAACACTTTTCGAGGGCATAAATAATATTTTATAATCTCTAATCTACCTATTAGTGCATAGCATTAGAATGTTTAAGTGATGCATGGATTACGTCTAGTCATTAAGTATTTATATATATTTATTATATTTATTATGTTACCCCAGAAAGCAATAAAGCATTTTTCACTTACAAAAATTACAATTTGCATAAACAAGTATACCTACTTACATGTACCTACCTATACGAACATCTTTTTTATGGGAATATCTTTTAGGAAATATTACGAATGTTTTTTATATAAATTTGTCTATCTGTGTTGTTTGATAATATGATATTAATATAATTGTGGTGCATAATTAGGTAATGCAGTCATATAATTACTCGACTCGACAGAGGTATCAAAAGTCCTGCAACGGCGATTAAGAAATAGAAATTAAGTAAACTGTTAATCTGTTGAAGAATTTAAAGAAGAAACTCGCCACAAAACTTTTTGATGGGTTCCTACAGACCACCTATGCCGATGTCGTTAACGCAATCTACTCTCAATAAATTTAAAATACATTAACATAACAAGAAATAACTAAGATGTAATTAACAATTACAATTGATAAGACACTACAAGAGAATGATAATAACACATTTTCGTACGAATTCAAATCTTCTAGCTTGAATTTAAGTATTAAAAGGTAATGTAAAAAGTGCTTCTTAGCACGAGTTAGTGCGAATGTGCCGTGAGGTTGAAAAAGGGGGTCGACCCTATAGGGTTGGGTGATACGGTTGGAACAGGTCATCTGATAGAGGTTGGCACGCGTTATCCGGATAGCGGTCGTGATTTACAGCCTACTATTTCCTCGCCAGTCCATCACGTTCTGCCTGCCACACCCTTCTCTTCTTTTTCCCCCGAATTGTGCTGCCAGCAAACCATTAATGCCCTCTTCTCTGTTCCCCTTCTAAATTCGCTTTACTACAACGATTGATGTTTTTACGTATACGTATCTGGCGGCTCAATCTGTTGCATGTATTTACTCAATTTTTAAGACCACCGCTCACATAAGATAAAGCTATGTACATCAAAGAAGGATGCATTCAACAGTTTTCAGTAAATTTCCCTGTTTTCATCATTGAAACAAGTGCACACTGCAGTCCAGTTATCGTAATGACTTGACCATCTTATTTAGCTGGAATTTTTTATAGAAAAGGAAGGTGTTACCTGTTGATTGAATAAATCCCATCTGTAGATAGAGTTGCTGAACAATCCCAAAACAATTTGTGTTTATTATATCATGTATACCATACTTACGACATTAACAGCACCAGTAAAAAAGTTTGATTTCAATAAAGAGCAACGTCTTGGGAAGGTGGAGGAGGGCGCGTGGACGATGCTGCAGCACCATGTTCATAACATAAGCGTCCATATAAATCCACCACTATGTGAAATTGATGTCATTTATCCTCTTATTATTCTATTCGTCTTCCTTTCAAACGTGCATGCAACATACATATAGTCTAAAGCTCTAAAGGACAGTAGTTAGTAGTAACGATGGCAGTGGTCGGCGTCAACGCCAAATTTGCATAGTCGACTGAATAATCCACGGCCGATTTAACGAGTTCGAGCGCTACCAGTTTTGTTCGTTCAGCCTGCTCAAAATTGAATAGATTAGCTCCGGGATTATACTATTCATAAAATATAATTGAATTTTTGTTCCACCCGTACTAACGGTTCGACAGAAAACGGAAAAATTAACGACCATGCACCGTCGAACACAATACAAATGTAGTAAATTCCACCACCCCAACCGATAAACTCAATTCTTCTGTTTATCTCATGTAGGTAGGTAACAAATGCACAATAAAATTTTAAAATTTTCTTATTCTTGAGACTCGCCTGTTCCTATTCGTCTTACTCTAACTTACGCTTTCATCGATGTTAATATACTGTAGCGTCTCGTGATTGTATCATTAATGCGTGCCGAATTGACCTATGCCCGTTGACGTGCTAACGAATTAATTGCACTCGCATAATTCTGTGTGCTATTTGTCCGTTCGTTGTTTAAACTTCCTGTTAGCGATGGCCGAACTTTTCGACGCACACAATGAACATCGGTGAATTATTGTTCTTCATAAATTAAGTGTATAAATAAAATTCATTGTGTTTACTGGCTGTATTTTGCCCGAAAATGCATTTTAAACGAGAAATTTTATTGTATAACCGAGTTTATTATGCAGTTAAAATCTATTATGCGAACTGAATGGTTTAAATTATTATGATAATTCCCGTGCCGAGTTTTAACACTAGTAGAACTTTTGATTTCCAATTTGTGAAATGCCACAGAAGTAAAGCACTTTATCTAACTAAAATAGTAACCGTAATAACAAATATTTTATAATGGCATCTCGTTTGCTTGTGATTTTTTCCTTTTAGCCGGTCTTATCGAAAAAAGAAACTGCCCTATCTAATATTCCACCGATCAAAAATTTTAATTGCAAATGGGACTTGGGGGCCATCCTAGCACGTTGCTTATCTTATCACAATTTTATCTCTTAAGCTAGCGATGCATATAAATGGTCGTTTACAGTCCGAGTCCCTGACAACGACTCTGCCGTTTGCCATACAAATTCCAAAGTGCTGGAAAGGAATAATGCATGAAGTGGTTTTAATACACCCCCATCTGTTGCCATAAAAGCATAAAAAAACCACCTATCAAAAACATAAATGTAAGTGTGTGAATTAATTCTTTCATTACCCACGAACGATAAGCTGATAAAGCCCAAACGGAAACTATCTTGGTCAGCAAACAAGTGAGGTGTGTGACATATACACTACAATGTGTACTTCTTACAAAAGTATCGTCCCACTTTTGCCCGTTTCTATAAAAATCAAGTTCGGAAAATCAAAAATCTTCGTTTGATTGAGGATTTCGCTAGTAATAAATTCATTTTCAATTTCCAACATCAAAACATACGTTTTAAATCCGAAAGTAGATCTTATTTATACTGGCTTGTCCTTATAAATATCGGATGCTAAAGGTTCTCAGGAGAAATTAGTTTCAGGATCTATAGAGCTTTTAACTTTTTCTGCCAAGAGCTTTTTTTTTTTTTCGAAAAAAGATACGAAAGAATGTAAAACAAATTGAATTGTCAATCAAATTTCCCGAATCGTAGTATAAAAATATTATAGTATCACTATTTTGTCTGTATCACAAAAAAAATGTAATTTCCATTTATTCACACACATGCAGTTACCATAAAAAAGTCTATCGAGGATTAACGCTTAATGTGCCTTGCGAAAATGTTATTCAAATTTTGCATAACTCTTTTGTTAAATAATTCATAAATAAATGAAAGCGAATTAAATATCCAAAAGAAGGAACTTAATCCAAATCCACCGTCATTGCTTTCGAAGTACAACTTCTCTAGTAGGTACCTGTAATAGTAACTCGAAACCTTCATTATGTACATCTCAATTCACCATCACATTTATCTTTTCATTATTGCTCTGGCGTATGCACTTTTCTAACGGTGCAAGATAAATGACAGTTGGGTTTTTATTAAAGCTTTGCAGCTCGTCCGATTCATCAGAGAACAGCAGCAAAGCACACAAGTATACGCTTAAATTCGCATTTATTCATATCAGAAGCGCGGCGTTTCGTTTCTTTTTTTTGTTGTGAGCGATATTATCTTCAATTTCAGCAGCGTCGAATTTAGTTGTACTACAGGAACATTAATTGAACCAAGGGTGCCGTTGTCGATGGTGCGTAGCTCATACATTTTAATCACGTTTCATTTACCCCTGCAATTAGACAACATTTTCTCAAATATTACTGCTTTAAGATTACAATGTGGGTACCAGTTGAATGTGAATACCGACTATGGATTTTATTTAAATCCGTCCATTTTTTTGCAGTTGTTTATGTCCGTCTGAAATACGCTTTTTAATTAAAAATTCCGAGGAAATGCTTGATAAAAGTAAATAATTCACAATTGAATCATAAAATGTTTTAATGTACCACAGTAGCTATTACGGCATATTTTATTTTCTTAAACCGCAATGAATTGCTTTTGTTTTTGTATAAACTTCCGCAAACACTCATTAATGTTATAATTACTAAATAGTGTATATACTAGATTTTGTTCTTTTTTTATTAATTTCTATAATTGTAGTTGTAGAGCTAGATTAGATTACTGTTTGCAAATAGTTAAGGATATGGGTTGTTCCAGTTTTAGGGAAATGCGAACATTAGCTCAGGATAGGAAAGAGTGGGGAGGTACGTGTTCAACCAGTCTTAGGACTGACGACCTTATGATGTATGCATGTCTCTTTTTCGCAGAAATGTGTGCTTTTTGATGTGTAAACATAAATGTTGATACACCACTGGAATTATCGGTGGCACTTGTGGAGGAATAGTAGGTGAATTTGCGTTTTTCACGTGTTCATTACGGCACTAGTGAAATCCAACATCCCTAGCATTACGACGCCGAAGCTTATGGTTTAATTTAAAATGCAAAGCGAAAATTGCAGAGGACATGCCATGTGCGCTGTAATAACATTTACATAAATTACGTGCCGGCCGCATAAACTGCCAGTTAAGGCGTAAGTGTTTTTGTGTTCTCGATTTTATATCGCTATTAAGAGACCGTATTATTAGCGGTGGTCGTTTTAAATTTAATGGAGTATAAAGGGACAAAGCCAATATAAAAAACGCCGTCATATTTTACATATCTATTGTACCCATATTCCGCTTCTGTATCGTATTTAATGAAAAATTCAACTACGCTGCAATTTTTTATTGTTTTTTTTGTTCTTTATAAAAACTCGCTTTTGTTTTATTCATATCAAAACAATGGTTAGAATTTCAATAAAGAGCATAAAATTCTTGATTACCAATTTATCAGATGTGAATCGCTACTCTAAATTTATTAAAATTTATCGGCACATCACATGTAGTTTCGCTAATTTTCACCATTTTCTTTCCGTACCGTACCTACAATACTCATAAGTTGCATAGCTACTTTGTTATCTTATTGGACTTTTCTAATCCTTTTGAACGGTCATAACTTTTTGCGCCATTTGAATTACAATACCATAATTCGGATTACTTTCTGCAACAAATCCTAACTATAGGGAAAACGAACGAATAGTACCTTATCAACCAGTTCTTTCTTCCTG